CCATCGTCAGCACCTAGAGACCAGGAAAGGCCATCTTGAGGCGGAGGTAGCATGTCCCTCCCCATATGGCTCCCAGGGAAGAGGAGCCACAAGGCTGCCCAGGCCAGCACTGCCCTATAACCACAAGAAACAGCCCTCAGGCACAGGTGATCAAGACTGGCTCCAGGAGAGCTGGGGATCGAGATGGGCTTAGGGGTAGGAAAAGCTCAAACACGCTCCTCACTCTGCCAAGGGCAATGCGGGAGTGGCCACCCGGCTCATATGGGTGGCCTTCTCACGGCCTGCTGGCCTGATGGAGGCGCTGCCAGCCAAGGAGGGAGGGAGGTGTCAAGGTCTAACAGGACCTTGCTCTGGTCTGGGATGTCTTCCAGGAGGTGGTGAGTGAGTGCTTGGGGATGGCCGTCCCACAGTGGCTGCATTCCGATGGGTTCCTGCACTGTTTCCAAGAGAGCAGCGGGGCCTTGGGGGGCAGCCTCTCCAGCTGGCCCCTGTCCCGCCACTGCTGTGAGGCCTGCCCCAGGGTCCAAGAGGGCTCTTCCTCCTAGCAGCTCACCATCTTTGGCCTATGTCGCACTTTTCCACGCTGTTTCTCTGCTCATACCTGGTGTGTTTTCTGTCCCCTGACCCATGCACAGCATGTCATTGGAGCCACTGCTACCATGCAGAAGAATGGGAGTCACCTGGGGCCTCCACTGCATGGCAGCCCACCACGTGCCCTTCCCAACACCTCTCACTCTCTCCCCACTCCCAGGCACTTCCCTCATCCCTCCTGGCCTGTCTTCCTCATCCCAACAAGCCTCCAGGAGGGGCACCAGGAGACCACCTCACAATCTCTGGAAGCTTCTGCCACTCCAGCAAGGGAGGCTATGAGATTAGGCTGAGCTAATAATCGGGAGAATCCATGGAGCAAAGTAAAAAGTAACTGATAACCTTCAAGAGATTTTAGTAGGAATCCAATAAAACACCATTCACCACTCCTTATTTTTAGATGAACTGGGTGTCCCATCACTGTTGCCAAAGGAACAGGTCATCCAAACTAGTCTAATGAAGGAAGCCAGACAGACCCAGGGAGTCTGAGTCTCAGCACTTCCTTGGTCCTCTGACACATATAAACCTGACTTTCCTTGTCAGTAAAATAAAAAGAACGATACCCACCTGACGGGCTCACAGAATTCCTACCTGGGTCCACAGTACACTGGTGAGCACCTTCCTGTTATCTCCCAGCACAAGAGACACCCCAACTCCACCACAGCATGTCCTCCTCTGTTACAGCCTAAGTCCTACCAGCCAGGCCCTCCTTGCTACACTTGTGTTCAAGGTGAAAGAACATCAAAAAGAAGCCTGAGACCCTCATAAATATCATCACTGATCTCTGACAAAGGAACAAAGGCAACACAAGCAAGCAAAGACAGCATCTTCAACAAATGGTGCAGGAGCCATGGGACGTCCCTACACAGAAAAATAAATCTAGACCCAGACCGTATACCCTTAACAGAAATTAACCTCAAATGGATCATACACCTCAATGTGAAATAAAAAAATTTATATAAAACTTGAAGATGACACAGGAGAAAAGCTAGATGATCGTGGGCTTGATGAGGCCTTTTCAGATATACCGCCGAAGGCATGATTCATGAGAGAGAGAACTCATCACCTGGGCTTCACTAAAACTAAGAAGTTCGGGGCAGCCCAGGTGGCTCAGCGGTTTAGCGCCTGCCTTTGGCTCAAGGCTTGATCCTGGAGACCCAGGATCGAGTCCCACGTCGGGCTCCCTGCATGGAGCCTGCTTCTCCCTCTGCCTATGTCTCTGCCTCTTTCTCTCTCTCTCATGAATAAATAAAAAAATAAAATATTAAAAAATAAAACTAAAGTTCTGCTCTGGGAAAGACCATGTCAAGAGAATAAGACAAGCCACAGACTGCAAGCATATGACAGGGAAGGATATGAGAAGGGGTCGGCATCCTACCTCATCAAGGAGCTGCAAATTAAAATAAAAGTGAGATACCACTACACACCTGTCAGAACGGCCAAATCTGGGCCCCCCACCACAGCACGTGCTGGCGAGGACACAGAGCCACAGGAGCTCCTGCTCACCACGCTGGGGACGCAGAATCACCGGTGCAGACGCTCTGGGAGATGGTCTGTCAGTTTCTTACCAAACTAAACATTTACCATCTGATCCGGCAATGAAGCTGCTTGGCATTTACCCAAAGGAGCTGAAAACTCGTCCACACAAAACCCTACACACAGATGTTAACAGCAGTTTTGTTCATAATTCCCCAAACTCAGAAGGAACCAGGATGTCCTTAGCTGGTGATGAAGGAATAAGCTGTGTCCATCTAGATGGTGGATTATTCAGCGTTAAACAGAAACAAACTATCAAGGCACAAAAGGGCCTGGAGGAGCCTCAGGTGCACGTCACAAAGAGGAAGAAGCCAGTCAGCAAAGGCTGTGTGCTGTAGGAGTCCCTCTGCAGCACATTCTGGAAAAACAGAGCGACGATGGGGACAGGAAGGAGACCAGTGGGTACCAGGGGCTGGGGTTGGGAAGGAGGACCCCGGGGGAGCATGAGGGTGTTTAGGGCAGCAAAGCTCCTCTGTGTGATACCACAGGGGTGGACACCTGTCATTCCGCAGTGGTCCAAGCCAACGGACACACAACACCGACAGGGACCTGGAACTGAGCTATGAACTCTGGGTGATGATGGTATCAGTACCGGGTACTCCCCGGTGGGGATGCGGATAGTCAGGGAGGTGTGCACATGTGTGGGCAAAGGGTATGCGGGGAATCTCTGCACCTTCTTAATGTTACTGTAAACCTAAAACTCCCCTTAAAAAATTAAATCTTGGGCAGCCCAGGTGGCTCAGTGGTTTAGCACTACCTTCAGCCCAGGGTGTGATCCTGGGGACCCGGGATCAAGTCCCACGTCGGGCTCCCTGTATGGAGCCTGCTTCTTCCTCTGCCTGTGTCTCTGTCTCTGTGTGTCTCTCATGAATAAATAAAATCTTAAAAAAAAAATTAAATCTTTAACAAAAAGAAGAAATCCAAGGTTTGAATCATGACCCTGCTTAATCCTGACTGTTAAACCTCAAACCTTGGCTACGTCACTTGCAGAACAGGGGCTGTAGCACCCCCTCTTCACAGGTGCCCTGAGGTTGGAACCCCACTGGGTGCAGTCTAAGACAGCAGAGAGCCCTGCAGAGCACACACAGGGCTTCCACCCAGAATGACCAGGGGTACACCTGACCCGCAGAGAGCCACATAAACACCCTTTCCTTCCCCCAATGCAAAAATTCACTTATACACCACCAGTGGAGACACATTTGTGGGATATGCATTCAAAGAAGTGGTGAATTTTCCAATTTCAGATAACATTTACCACCTTTCGGGCCCTCCTTCCTTAGCCTACCACAGCAATAGGGAAGGACGCGCTGCTGGAACCTCCCCACCCCCAACCCCAGAAGGAGGCTCAAGTGTGAAGCATCCATGCCACAGTCTGGCTGGCTGGAGCAGACGAGAAGGATGTGGGTGGGGGGGATCGCCCCAAGAACCCAGGCCATGTGTGGCTCAGCCAAGGGACAAGAGAACAGGTGCACATGACAATAGAACATCTGGCAACAGCAGTTTAGGAACTGAATCAAAAACCCACACAATTACAACTGTTTATAAGGACAAAAATCTAACCTTAGACTCTTCAAAATGTGATCATGGCCATTGGGAGAGGGAAAGCCAGGGGGTCTGACCTCTCCTCCATCTCTAAATCTTTAGTGTGTTGTACAGTGGAAACTACTATGACTAGGAAACTACTAGGAAGGGTGCAGGCATGAACAGAATACTCGCTGAACAGCCCCTCAGCTCTCCTGTTTCCCCAACCCCATCCTCACCAGCCAGCAGAAGGATCTCCTTGTGAGACTCTTGGCTATCAAGAACAGAAATGTGAACACATGCAGAAAAGGTACTTTAAAATCATGAAGGGCAGCCCTGGTGGTGCAGCAGTTTAGCGCCGCCTTCAGCCCAGGGTGTGATCCTGGAGACCCAGGATCGAGTCCCACGTCGGGCTCCCTGAATGGAGTCTGCTTCTCCCTCTGCCTGTGTCTCTGCCTCTCTCTCTCTCGGTCTCTCATGAATAAATAAATAAATAAATCTCTAAAAAAAATAAATTAAAAAAAATTAAATCATGAAAAGTCCTCTGAGAAAAGTCCCTTGGAGACAACCCAAGCCAGGCACCATTCTACATCTCACTGGGTCATTCACTGGGCGCCAGCCACACAGCAGCTCAGCCTGTCCCTCCAGTGCCACTGGCCACCCCTCTGCCAAGGAAAGTCCTACATGCTAACACCCGCCCTCATGCTCCAAACTGAGCCCCTAGTGGGGAAGGCAAAGGCCCCAAAGGGACATGGACAGGTGTGAGATGTTCAAAGCACTGCTGCACCAAGCATGGTCCCTTACCATTTGATAGGCACCTTCAGTGAATAAGGAGCACAAGCCACCAGCCCACTGCCGAGTTCAGCTGGCATTTTCTTCATAACAGGATTTTCCAGATGAAGTAAACAGAGCAAGGATCCACACCCTGGGAAGTGACCTGTCCTGAGATCAACAGTATCTGTGCTTCAAGAATTTTCTCATCTCAAAAGGGTGGGATGAAATGGGCTCCAAAGGGGTCCCATGGATAGGACCCTCCTAGGCACCAGCAGTACGAAAGGGCAGGAGGGAGGGAGGGAGGAGGGCCTCAGCCTAGCTGTGAGAAGTGATGTCCCTCCTCCATTATCTGCTCTGCACAGGACCTGCCAGAGAGGGGGCAGTACCTAGAGGGCTCCCGGGCAGGGCAGAGCCCACCGCACATAAGCAAAAGACGTCCTGCAGGGCCAACAGAGGCAGGGCTCAAGGGCAGCAGGAGAAAAGCGGGACTGGACACTTGTCAACTAGCATGTATCATGCCATCAGTGACTGAGTTAATGATATCCAGCTCCGTTTTACCAAATCACATCTAACAGGCTTACCTTTTTGTCTTCCTTAGTCTTTCTAACTTGTCGATGGGGACCGAAAATGTTTTGCATCCCGAAGGCCTTCCTGGACCAGTCCCTTTTCTGGGTGCTCAGTGGGGGCTGTGCCAAGCTGCCCTCCACCCTGTAGCGGTCGGCGGGAATCTTGCTCATGGGAGGGGGCAGCGTGCCGCAGTTGACACTAGACCACCCATCGGTGGAGTCTGTGTAAGACTCCTGGTCACTGGCGTGTCCGCACTGCCACTCCTGCAGGACGTGGACTGGAAGCCACCGCTGGCCGAAACTACCACCGTGGCCCACGGCACCCCTCTTGGAAGGCGGCACTGAACTCCGCAAGGGGGCAGGGGGAGCCTCTCCGTGAGAAGTGGACCCTAAGTGCTTACTGAAGTCCCGGCACCTGTCAGCCTGTGGAGAGGCCTCAAACAGGGGGCCCCCTTCGGGGTCGTGGCAAAAGGCCCCATTCCAGGGGGCACCCCAAGGCTGGGAGCTCCTCCCACCGGCACCCTCCCAGCCACTGTTGCTGGGGCCGTGCCTGCTAGAGCTGGCGCCCAGGTCAACCACAAGCACTCGGCTGCTTCGCTCCTCCTGGTGGAAGTTGCCAATGCCACTGTCACTGTTGCTGCTGGTGCTGGTGTTCTGGTGGGCATCCGCATCCCCGTCCACAAAGGCCCGGGCCCGGACTCCCTCGATCAGCTCGCCCATGTCTCTGTACAGCACAGAGACAAACTGGAGGACAGGGAGAGAGGATGCTGGGAACTCAAGGCAGCCGTTGGTGTCGGGGTCCGCCGTGCACTCAAACCCAAACCGCCGAGCAATGCCCTGATGGATCTTGTGATTGAACAAGTCTGGATCCACCATGAACACGTGGCAGGAAGTCCGCAAGGCACCCTCATCCTCATGAGCCAGACTCCCATCGTCACTGGTCTGCATGGTCACGAGCCCAAAGAGCCTCCTGTCATCTGGGCATACAGCACTGAAGGCCAGCTTCTCAGCTGGGTACTCGGCCAGAACAGCCGCCTGGTCAGTACAGAGCTGCACACGGTCGTGCAGGACTCGCATCGTCACCAGGGAGTGGATTTTCTGCTCAGCTCGCAAGCGCCGCAGGCAGCCACGGATGGCCTGTAAACTGTCCGACTCAAGGTTGCAGCTTGTGGAAGGAAGTTCGATGGAACCTAAGTAGCCTACGACCATGGCAACGTTTAAAATACTTGCGTCTACTACAAAATCTTCATGATTCTCAGGTCCGATACTGAAAACTGAATCATCATTAATCATTTTTGATATTTCCTCCTTAGAAAGCAGGCCAGGATTCGGATGACTTATACTTTCACGTCCAAGGTCAAATCGCGCAGTGGCTGACTCTGAAAGGGATCTTTGTTTCAATTTCAAGGGCTCTGAATTGCTCGCACGAAGACTAGGATTTTCAAAGATCATACTGAGAATTCCACCGGACTGCATTTCTTCAACAACTCGCTCTGCTCTATTTATACCTAAGGCTTTAGAATCAAGCTTGGGCTTCAGCCACCCTTTTCCTTCATAAAATCCAATCTCTTCATCACTGGAACAGGACTCCACGTGGCCAATGCCTTCACCAATCACCATGTGCAGGACACCAGAACATTTCCCAATTAATTTCACTACATCCTCATGGGACGCTTTCTTCACATTGATTTCATTGACAGCAAATATCTGATCACCAGCACGGAGGCCCACAAAATCTGCAGGGCTCCCTCTCATGACACAGCTGAGCACACAAGGCGCCTGACCAGAAAGGGTGAATCCGTACCCCGTTCTTCCTCTGGCCACTTCCACACTCCTCATGCGAGGGGGCGCCTGCCCATGAAGTGGACGCTCCACTGTGTCCCCTGCTCTATACATTTCGATGTGCTTGCAATACCAAGGGCATCATTCTTCACTGCAGGGGATCCATAGTTCAGGGAATGCTGGGTGCTACTGCACTTTTTCTTGAAATAATGCCCTAAGGAAGACAATAAATAGCTTGTTATTCCAGATCCCATATTTCCATTGCTTACCCATATCACCTAAACATAAAAAGATAACTCATAACAAAAACCATCATAGAAAGAGTGTCTGGTTAACACATAAATGTCCAAAGGAAGGAAAAGCAGTCTCTACATATGGTAAACCATAAAGCCAGCCTAAGAAATTTCCCTCCGGAGCAGACTGTGTTTCCCAGAACCGACAGACACCCTTTGCAACACTGATGTGACATTACTCCCACCTTAGGTTTGAGGGATCCAGGGCTGCAGCAGAAGCTTCTCCTGCCTTCTCCTGCCTGTCTGGGCAGAAAGGAAAGACACCTCAAGACCCTTACCATTCCAAGTGTGATCAGAAGACCAGTAGCCTGGCAGCGCCTGGAAATGGGCACAATGGGGCTCTCGTGCCCCTCTGCAGATCCAGCACATCCCTACCTGCATTTTAATCTGAGACGCAGAGGCAGAGTGAGAAGCAGTGCTGGCTACAGACCTGGGGTAGAAAGGCGCCTATCTGATCACAAATTCCTCCATCACAAGCAGCAATCCATCAGGAAAGAGTCAGCTTATATTCTCTCATATTTTTCCTCCCTCAATTAATTTCTTCTGAACAAAGTACCATGTGGGAAAACCGCGTTAGTCTGAAATCGCCTCAGTCAACTACAGAGGCCACCGGAGAGAACAGTTAAAACCACCAAAAGAGCAAAGGAGGGCAGCCTGGGTGGCTCAGCGGTTCAGCGCCGCCTTCAGCCCAGGGTGTGATCAAGTCCCACATCAGGCTCCCTGCATGGAGCCTGTTTCTCCCTCTGCCTGTGTCTCTGACTCTCTCTCTCTCTCTCTCTCTCATGAATAAATAAAATCTTTAAAAAACATTTAAAAAAAAGAGCAAAGGCATATAATTTAATTGTTCCGGGGATGACTTCATCCTTGGTTGTCATCAAAAACAAACCTGTGTCAGGGTCCCAGGACCATCCCAGTTCCATGACTCATTAGGAGGACACACAGGACCTAGAATACAGTTGTGCTCATGGCTGGGACTGATCCCAGGGAGTTGGCCAAAGGGAGAGGTATGGGGTGAAGAAGTCAGGGGGACGAAGTCCAGAGGAATCAGGTGCCAGCTTCCAGCATCCCCTCCCTGGGACTCAGGTGGGATGTGCTCCATTCCCAGCAGTGTGTTGTGACAACATGTGTGGGGTCTTGTCAGCCAGGGTGGCTTGTTAGGGACGTAGAACAGGGATCGCTGGGGCTGGTCCTTCAGGCCCTTGCCCCTGGCTCAGCCCAAACCGCAGACCCTCAGGAAGAAGGGGTCTGGCACAGGCAGGGGGGGTCCAGCTGAGGAGTGGGAACACTTCCTGGAAACCTGCCCAGGCCCAGTGCAGCACAGGCCTCTCGGGGGACAGCCTGGTCCCACTGTGGAGCTCCTGCTGTACAAAACCCTTCAAAGATCACTTTAAAAAACAATACAGCAAATCATGTTGTGAAGACCCAAAACAGTATAGAGATCATGTTTCTTAAGGAAAGTACATTTTTAAAATAATTGTTCTAAAGTTGTTAGGATCAATTCTTCATCTTGGGAAAGGTCTGCAGTCACAGAAGCTTAATTTCAAGTAATGCCCACCCACGCATGACAGAAGAAGCTACAGGAACTGAAGGGTGTGCTCCAGGGTGGCCCCACCAGTGGAGGCAGGGACAGAGAGGACACAGTGTGCAAGATGTGGATTTGAACAAAATCACCCCGATGGCTAAGAGTGATAAAAGAACAAAGTATTTCTAAATTACCATACTGTTTAATATCTAAGTGGTGATACAAGAATCACTTAAGTATTATGACTGGACATTTAACTACTTGATATTCATCATTAAAAACATCTATTAAAGTTGGCCAAGAATAGTGTTCAGGGTCTCCTCACCAGGCCACTTCCACGCTGAATGATGCTCCCCCACCAAATATGCCTCACCCCCAGGGAACTGGGAAGTAGCCGCCCACAGCCAAAGAGACCTCGCAGGCATGTTCAGGTGAAGGCTCCTGACACAGAAGGTTATCCTGGCTGATCTGAGCAGCCCCTGGAGTCACAGGGTCCTGATCAGAGGGAGGCAGGAGGGTCAGGGTTAGAGAGAAGTGGAGATCAGAGTGGCAGGCTATGAAGGTAGAGGAAGGGCCACACAGTTCCCAATCGGAGCACCCCTAGAAGCCACAAAAGGTGAGGAAAACAGACCCTCCCCTAGGGCCTCCAGAAGGAACGGTCCCACGACATTGTGACTGTAGCAGGTGAGACTGACTGTGGACTTATCACCCAGAGCTGTGAGAGAATAAAGTTGTGTTGTTCCAAGCCTCTGAGTTTGCTTACGTGGCCACAGAAACTCGTGCCAGGGGCATCACCCTACTGGTGAGGAGGGAACAAACAGATGCAAGGGCCACTATGCCTACCTGTGCCACCCATCACCATGACCCCTCCCAGGACAGGGGTTGATGACACCCTGCTGCCTTCCTCCAGTGACAGAAGACTGCTGGCTATCTCTGCCAAACAACAGGTACTGCCTGTTGAAATTAATGATTTCCCAATTTTACATGCAGAATTATTTTGTAATTCACCCAAACACCAGAGTTCTAGCACTGTACGATGTAACACCAAGCAACAGTCTTCTATGTGACTTACCCAAATATTTCTACTGGATTCTTACAGTCACATTCCTCTATTGATTAAAAACTGTTTCTAATTTAAGCAACTTTCTGACCACAGGTCCTGTCCCTGTGCTTTATTCACTGAAAAAGAATTGTTTCTAATTCATATAAGTAGTGTCTTAATACCTACAACCACATTTTATGAGTTCAGCCTACAGGTTAATTTTTCCTTAAACTGTATCAGTAAAATGAGCAGAGTGAAATTTGGAAGAAACCAAATTCCAGTTTCCAGCTCCTGTTGGCATTTTTGCCATCTGGGCTGCTCAAGTGCCAGTTCCTGGGTCCCCTTCCTCCACCCGGATACTCCAGGTGACGAGGTCTGAGCTGCCCGCTTCAACAAAGTCTCTCCCCCACACACACCTGCCAGGTGATTTCGACAGGTAACAATACCTGGAGCGCCCTGACTTGAGATCACCTGCTATGGGCTGAATGTGTGTAGCTCCAAATTCACAGATGTTGAAATGCTACCCCCCAGTGTGAGGGTGTGTGGAGGAGAGGCTTGGGAAGTGAGGAGGTTTAGATGAAATCGTGAGGGTGGAGCCATCAGGATGAGATTCGTGTCCTGTAAAGCAAGACACCCCCACCCCACCCCCCTCCATCAGGTGAAGACAGTGAGGACTCGAGAAGGCGGCTATCTGGAACCAGGGAGTGTCCTCGCCAAACACTGGACCTTGGTGTGCTTTCAGGTGCTCAGCGTGCAGGGTTCTGCCGTAGCCCCAGCCAATGGACACATCATCCAAGCTGGCCTCCCCATTGCGCAGAAAAAGGGAACAGCTCAGAAAGAAGCGACGGCTTCCTCACAACACAGACAATAGGACACAAGGGTCTCCCCACTATGCCCACTACCAGGATCAGTGTCTCATTACCAAATGACACTGTCATTCCTTTACCTATGTCATTCAGGCCAGCAGGACCCAGGACTATACTTCAGGTGCCGTGACCTTTCCCTACTCCTCTCTGAGGTTCAAATCAGAAGACAGTCCTATCTGATGAGTTGCTCCACTCACAGCCACCAAGTGAGTGTCTACTCCGTGCCCTGCAGCATCTCACACCCAGAAGCCACACGGGGCCCTGAGCAGCCCCCAGGCCCCAGGGAGGGAGAGGCAGGATAAGGCAAAGAGCCACCACCCCACGTGGTGTGCTCCGGGCCCTGCAGGGGGAGCAGGGAGAGCAGGAGTAGCAGGGAGAGGAGGAGCAGGAGGAGCAGGAGGGGCAGGGAGAGCAGGAGGAGCAGGGGAAGGAGGAGGAGGAGCAACAGGAACAGGGAGAGCAGGGGGAGGAGGATGAAGAGCAGGGGGAGCAGGATGAGCAGGGGAGCAGGAGGAGGAAGAGGAGGAGCAACAGAAGCAGGGAGAGCAGGGGGAGCAGGAGAAGCAGGGGGAGCAGGGAAAGCAGGAGGAGTGGGAGGAGGGGGAGGAGGGGGAGCAGGGAAAGCAGGAGGAGCAGGGGCAGAAGTCTGCTGGCCCAGAAGGGAGAGGAGCACAGCATGTAGCACTCCTGCCAACCGCATGGCTCACCCCCTTCCTCTATCCTTCCTTGCTGGGGTGCATTTTGGGAGGATGATGCCCCAGGTCACCATGATAGGCCCTGAGCTGAGCACAGGTGCCAAAAGACCGAAGTCGGGAAGAGCAGCTACAAGGAGGCCTGGAAACGAGGTAGGAGGGGAGGCTGAGGACCCCGGGCAGAGGGCACCCATTGCATGAGGACAAGTGGGAAGTGCAGGAACAGAAGCAGATATCAGATAAGCACTAGCAGCGGGGAGCTGTATGCGGTACTTGGTACTTGGTACTTGGCCTGAGCCAGGGCTGTTCTCAGGACTCCACGTGTGGTAACGTGTGCCCACAAGCCACACTGCTATGACATAGGTAGGATTACTCCCATTTTGCAGATGAGCAAACACACTGAGAAGCTAAGCAACCTGTCAAGGCTGCACAGCTCCTGAGTGTCACAAGTGGATTTGAACCCCGCTCTCTCCACCTCCACAGAGAGGGGTCCTTAGAGGAAGCAGAAGCAGCCCTGGGGCTGAGATAGCAGGCGCTGGCCACCTCCACAGTCCCTCTGACCACCTGATCTCTTGCTGCAGAAGCCCTGCGGTGCCGTGCCACCCTCTCTGACCAGGACCCACCCACCAGCAGGCCCTGCCCCTCACATCCTCCCCCAAAGCTGTTGTGTCTGGGTGCTACCTCCAGCCACCACTGCCATGGCACCAAACACCCACTGGGCACTATTCCCCCCAACTTCTTGGGGACATTTGCAGAAGATGCAGCATAGGCCCCAACACCGTCACACATACCAGGATGC